GGTTTTGGTGGCTATGAGTTCTCATTATCATCCTCAACAGCTTTTATTTACAAATCATGTGTGTTGGTACAAGAAGTTTGTTCAAAATTGTCAAAGTTCCTCAAAGCATTCTCTTGATCTAAGGAGTTAGGGTTTTGAACTTCAAATGAATATATCTTGCTCATATATTGGTATTTTTTAGTGATTCCAAAGACATCTTTCTCTTCAAATGGTTATCAACAAATCACTTCAAAAGTTTCAAGGAGTTGTCATGAGGAAGAGACTTAATGAGGAAGAAAGATTAGAAGTCCTCCAGATGAATCCCCAATTTTCCATGTGTGACTTCAAATGATCATAACTTGGTCAATTTTTATTACCTTGAGCCCATTCTTTTTCCATAATGATCTTTAAAGTGTGAACTTTATGCCTTATTTTATGTGCAAAGTGAGAAAATGGATGGAAGTTTCCTTAAGGATGCAAAATATTATAGGTCATTTCATGATTTTTTTCCAACTTCAACAATTCATAACTCTCTCAATTTTTGGATATTTTGAATGGTTCAAGTTTCAAAATGTCATTCAAGAGATATACTTCATTCCATCTTTTTTGGTCAAGAGAAAATTCCAAGTGGAAGGCCATATTTGGATGTAAGACATTATAGGTCATTTTTGAAGAAGAACTTGAAATATTTCTAAGTATGGAAAGTCAACTCTTTTTCTCCAACTTTGACTCAACACAACTTTCATCTCAAGCATCCATTTGATTCCATTCTTTTTCCATTCCAAAGCTTGTAACCTCATCTTTCTAAAGCATCAAGAATCTTGAACTAAGACCCCTTGAGCTAAGAATGCCATGATTTTGAAATTGGTAACTTGGAACTGAAGTTTCCTCACAAGTCAGATTTTGAAATCTTTGTTTTGGCTTCTAATCACAAGTTTTCCACGCGTTTTTGCCTCCAAACATGTTTAGTGAACTTCCAGAATGGATTATCACAACAAAACGCGCGTTTTGGATGAGTTTTGATCAAGTTTGAAGTCACACTTTTCTTGTTTGCAACTTCACACGATTTCCCTCCAAACTTCATCATTTCACACGCTTGAACATTCCATCTGATTTCCTATAAATAGAGGGTCATTCCCCATTCATTTTCTCAAGCTTGGATAGCCAGAATCACCCTACCAAACTTGTTCCACAACTTAGAATTCAGTAACTTCAAAATCCATTCTCAAGCCTTTTTCAATCCAATTTTTCCATCAATTCACCTTCCTTGATCTTCCCTGAAGCTAACCACATAATTACATTCATTAATGGTGCCCTATATTGCTCCATAGAAGTCCAGTTTCAGAGCTTTGCAACTCAACTTCAATAGGTAGATTCCTTCATAAATTCTTCAAAACTCTGATATCATTGTGTTGCTCTCATTGCCCTGGTTCTAGTCGCAACACTTACCTTTTACTGGAAACACGTTTTGACCATGAAATTTCAAATCCCTTTTCAAAACTTTCCTTCCAAATTGCTTGAGCTACAATTTATATAAATTTGGCGCGAGGGTGTGGTTGTCTTCGTCTTGAAGATACGAAGCGAACGATATAGGCCTGAGCTTCTGATTTTACAGTTTGAGAGACCTGCAAATCACATTGGCTAGAGGTTGAAGATGACCTACGTGTCATCTTCCAATCAATGATGGCACGCCACTTTTTATTTTTGAAAATATGATTTATATTTGATTCTGTACTTTATTCACTAATGACCATGATATGCACAGCGCGCCAGATCCCTTAGATTTGATTACTAACGCGTTTTGACTCTCATCCAATGGTCCACATATTTTTACTTTTATTTTCTTTTCTGATTTTTATATTTTAATTGTTTTAAATTTCAAAAAATCATAGAAAATTCATTTTAAGTCCAAAAAATATGAAAAAATTATTAAAAAATAGATTATTCTCTTTCTGATTTTTATTTTTTCACAATTTAATTTTGTGTTTTGGTATTTTTTTATAAATTTACACTTTATTTGAATTGTTTTAAATGTTTAAAAATACTTTTATACATTTTTAAATTCTGAAAAAATTATGGAGTGATCCAATGATATTGTGACAAATATTGGTGACCTTATTATTTTTCCGACTTTACTATTTTTTTAAATCTTTTTTGGTTTATTTTACCCATTTCTTTTAATTTTAAAAATAATTTCTGACTTTAAAAAATTACCAAAAAATTTGTAAAATTATTTGAGCCTTTTTTTTAAATTTTTCTATGGTCTTACTTTTTATTTCTTGATTAATTTGTACATAGTTGATATTTTTCTCTTTATTTACTATTTTTAAACATTATTTTTAAATCCTTTTGTATATATTAAAATGTAATATTATTTTTTGACTATTTTCTGGCTGACCTTGGGTTAAATTTTGGATCATGAACTTTATTAACATCATTGGAGCCATGGTGTTGAGTTTAACTCCACAAAAATAGATGAAAGATTTTAATAATAGTTTGATTAAATTTAATTCAAAAGTGGTTTGTATATTCTCTCCCATCCCTCTTCATCTCATCCCCTTCTTATTGCACTAAATGTTGTTGGAGCATGACCTCTATATCATGTCTCAGAATAAATGGTGCGTAGATTGCTATTGACCAACCTCAAAATAGGTGCGACTTCTAAATTTTGTCCCGATTCGAATAAATGATCATTTGGGGCCCAAACTTATGTTTGCAAACCCAAGTATGTTAATTTGATCTCTTTGGTCCAATAACCTTGAGATTCATTGTGTGGAGGCTTTGGTTCTACCAATCCTCTAATGGATCTACAACACCTTTGGTCAACGCGGATCACTTAAACATCGTTGATCATTAAATGACACTTGTGAGAATTCCAAATGGATGATATACTTGACAAAAAGCAAATGCAACTTGTTGTGTGGAGGCTTTGGTTCTACCAATCCTCTAATGAGTTCCAAATTCAAGCTTCAAGATCATCATCCAACTAACCACTAATTATTTACTTATTTTACTTTATGCTTTTATTTTTTTATGCTTTACGTACCATTTACTTTTAGCATTTACATTTCATGTCATTTTCATCTTTGCTCATTTGAGCATTTACTTTCTTGTCATTTTTACTTTGCTCATTTGAGCTTTTCTTTTCTTTTTTTAAGATACTTAATAATCAACATAAACCATAAAAATCTTTAATGGTACTTGGACTATTTGGTTACTATCTTTGGCATTATGGAGCATGAGACTTTTTTCTTGGACTTAGGATTAGAAACCTTGGCCTGTCTTGGAGACCTTGTGATCTTATCTGATTATTTTGTCTGGAGTTGTTGAGGTTTACCTCAATACATTAGGTTGCTTGTTTGTTTTTGTGTGCAGGTTTTTGTGATTACACCCTTTGTTTGTAATATGGAATTCACCCGTATACAGCCGTTACTCTGCCCAATTTTTGTGAAGACTTAATACACTTGAAGTTTGATTCTCTCAAGAGGTCTAGTATTTTTTTGCTTGATTGGTTTCAATCCAAGGAATAGGAATTCTATCTTGGCTCGTAATGTCAAGTATTGGCTTCTTGTTGGTTAGATGGTTCTTATCCCAAGCTTTTACATTATTCTTTAGGATAGTCCCTTCTTCTCCTCCCATCTTCTTTAATTTCAAAAATCTTCTTCCTCCTTTTGAAAACTCTTATTGTTTTTAAACTTGAACCATTTTCATAAAAAACTTGGACTTATGTCCATGCATTTTCAAAACAATTTCATAAATAAACTCCAATCAACTTAATAATACCTTGACATTTTTTGTGAGAATACTAAAAGTCAATCAATCTCATTTCAAACCATTTTGCCACTTTGGCTTTTATCTTTAAACTTTTCTCAAAATATTGAAATCTTGTCAATCCTTGTAGTGATGCAAACAACTATACTTCTACAATATGTAGTGAAGAGATATATTTTCCACTTGGATGTTGAGTGAGACATTGTTGATTTTAAGATCCAGGCCATATCCTCCACTTTGAGATGATGCAAATTCTCCTTTCTAATAATTGTGGGTAGTAGGTATGTTTTCCACACGGACAGTGACGATGTTTTATCTCATAAAATTAACCAACACATTTGTGTTTTAAATTTTTAAAAGAGGAACTACGTGTACCTTGATCCCCTATTGCACGAAAAGGTGGTACGTAGGCACTAAAGGTTCGCAACCACGGCGCGTGCAAAAATCATAAAATAAATATATTTCTTTTCTCACCTCCGCCATCCATTTTTATACAACATTTTTCATAGCCAAAATATACATATTTCACAAAGAGGTTCCTGCAGAGTACCGTAGATGTTTAGGGTGCTAATATCTTCCCTTTGCATAACCAACCCCCTTACCTTGAATTTTTCCCCTTCTTTTTGGGTTATTCTCTCTTTTCCCATTCCTTTGGAAACAATAAAGTGTGGTGACCATTTTTATTTTGATTTGTATTAAAGTCTATTCAACCTAATGGCTTAGTCTTAAACATTTCTACCGCTACAATGACTGGGGCCTTCCTTCCAGTTTGCAGTCCATGAAGCTCCTTATCAATGATCTCCTTATTTAGTATTCCAGAGAGAACGTCTGCATAAATAATAAACAAGTAAAGGGATAATGGGTCTCCTTGACATAGACCTTTTTAAGGAAAAAAAGTCTTACTCAGTTGGCCGTTGATGAGAGTTTGGTACGACACCATGGATATGCATTTCTTGATAAGATGGACCAAGAAGAGCAGAAAACCTATAGCTTAAAGCGTGCTGGTGACAAACTTCCACTCAATTATATCATAGGCTTTGGACATATCTAACTTCAAATCCATCACCCATTTCTTCGCCTTATTTTTCTTATTCATCCAATGAATACATTACATAGCTATTAGAGAATTATCCATGATCAATATACCTTTCATGAAAGCATTATTATCCTCATCAATTATGTCAAGAAGACAAGACTTGAGTTTATTGTCTATTATCTTCGTGACCAGCTTCATAATCACATTGCAAAGGTTAATGGATCTGAAATCCTCCAGGGTATCCAAGGTTCTTATGCTTAGGGATCAAGGCTATGAAGGATTTTGTTATGGTTGTTAGGGTATTTCTAGTTACTGAGAATGGCAAGCACCTGTCAATAAACATCATGACCCATAATGTGCCAGAACTTTTAGAAAAAAGAGAGTTTGAAGCCTGTTTAGGCCTACGAATTTTATGGGATGCATTTGAAAAAGGACCTCATTTACTTTAGCCCTCGTAAACCTAGAGCTACACCACTCCTTTTGGGATTCTGGAAGTTTTCCTTAGACTATACTGTAGACTTGAGGGATGTTGGTTGGGTAAGAAGATGAGAACATACCTGAAAAGTAGTAAATTAAAATCGTCTCGCATTTCTTGTCACCCTTCCTCCATAGCCCATTACCACCTTTAAGCCTCTTGATCAAGTTTGTTCTTCTCCTTTGATTAGTTTTTCCATGAAATAACTTAGTGTTGTGATCACCATCTTTAAGCCAGACCACTCTACCCCTTTGTCTCCACATCGTCTCTTCAACCCTTAATATATTACCTCTTTGTTGCTCCATAGTCTTATGCTTGTTAATTTTATTAGCTTTCGAGGACCAACAATTATCCTCGTGCGACCGTGCCTCAACTCTCTTAATTGTTGGATTTGAGACTTCATACACAAGAGAGGAGTGAATTGTATGGTTTAGAAAAATATGGGTTTTGAAAACTTTTAGAAATTTAATCAGACATTGAAGATATTTTCTAAGTATAAGCAGCGAAAATAAAATATTAAAGAGCGGAAATTTAAAAAGTTTAAGGAAGAAGAAAGACACCAGCAATTATAGAGGTTCGGTCAAAACAAAAAGGACATACTCCTCCCCCCAAGACTTGGTCTTAAGAGTTTCCAATAATTCTTGAGAGATTTTAGTAGAAAAGACTCACAAATCCCCGCTTATACAAGAAAATGGTGGTTGTCATACAATCAGAATATTACAAGACAAAAAATATGGGTCTTTGCATCTTTTCCAATAAGTTGTTGAGATTGAAGTGGTCATGCTTTCTTCCCAACTGGAGATTGAAGTGGTTAGTCTTCTCTCCATGAACATGGACCTTGTAGCAGTTACTCTGCATGTTCCAAAAATATATCTAAGCTCAATTAATTTAATAGGATTACCAAATAACCTCTTGAGATTTTAACCGGGCTGATCTCAAAACCAACCATGGTTTTAACCGTGCTAACCATGAACTAATGGTAAGATCTTCAAAGGTAGATGATCTTCAACCTATATACAAAAACTAGTAGGAACTGATCACATAATTCCCAACTATACGATTTTAACAGGTTTAGCTTCTAACCACATATATGATCCTTAAATGGATTGTATTCATCCAAGATGTATAAACAACATCTTTGGAGAACTTATGCAATGATACCCTTCCATAATTATAATAAACATCTCACTCACAAATGGAACTTTCTTCATAAAAGCATTTGGCTATAAGAACTAGTGAGAGAAAGTTAAAAATAAACTTTTAAAGAGCGAGAGAGAGTGGGTGTCAATACACAAATCGTATTCTGGATGATTTAAAACAAGAAATGAGGTCACTATTTATAGGCAATAAGAATGCCTAAAATGGAAATCCCATTTAATGAATTTGATCATTGGCTAATCAATTAGATTTTTGTTCTAATCGATTTGTTAGACGGTGACAACTTATCTAGATGGAGGGGGGGGGGGGGGGGGGGGGAGGGGGGTGAATAGACTCCCAAAGAAATTTTCACTAAAAATTTTGTTTTAAAAATTAAGTAGAAACTATGGCAAGCGAAAATCGTAACCTAGAACACAAGTTGTCAAAACTGAACCAGTTATTTGAGGCTCGGATATGCATAAACTCAATATCAATTTAATGATGATGATAAGATATTAACACAATAAATCTCAATCAATAGTTTGATAATAACAGCAAGTGAACCAATTTCCAACAAAATTCAACACAAAAAGAGTTTTGGCAAATTATCAAACACTTGGTGCGCAATAGATTTTTCAAAATTTTTCCTTTGCTCTTTGTTAATATAAAATACCACTTACAATCTAAGTGATCGTAACGTAATCAACAAAGCAATTCAAGTATAACAATGAAAATAAAATTTTTATACGAACCCGATGTCAGGATCAATGAATTTAACAAGTTTCTTATTGAAATTAAATGAGTAATATATATATATATATATATATATTATATATATATATATATATATATATATATATATATATATAGAGAGAGAGAGAGAGAGAGAGAGAGAGAGAGAGAGAGAGAGAGAGAGAGAGAGAGAGGAGAGAGAGAGAGAGAGAGAGAGAGAGAGGAGAGGTGGAGAGAGAGAGAAGAGAGAGGAGAGAGAGAGAGAGAGAGAGAGAGAGAGAGAGAGAGAGAGAGAGAGAGAGAGCAACACAAGGATTTTTTTAGGAAGTTCACCATTCGTCCTCGCCATGGCTACGTCTACCTCCAATTATGTTTGGAATTGAGATAAATTTCTTACTATGAAAATATATTGTTTTACAAGAGAATTGAAGTAATCCAAAACTAAAAACCCTATGTTTGGTTGGTTGATCCTTGCAATGTATATAACCCCTGATTCATTGTATCACACTACTCTTTTTCATGATCTACTAACTTAAAAGCTTTCACTTGATTGAATCAAATTACATGTTACTGTGATCCCAAGATTTACCAATTTGATTCACCGTCTCACGCAACTCCTTTCAAGACTCATTGTCTCCAAAGCTCTTCACTCGGTCGAATCCATAATTACGTAATCTTATCCAAAACCTTAAAATACTAATGATCTTGAAGGAAAACCCCAACTTGGTTTTCTTATTGAAATAACCCCCAAATCCATAATGATCTTAGAGGACAAACACTTGGTTTTTCCAGATGAAACCCCCAAAATTCTCAACTCAACCTTAAGTTACAATCCATCTAAATTGAACTTTATCAACACAAGTCTAAATGGAACCCAATCAATGAAGATTATGTGTACATTGTTTGTGTGTATACATAGATGCAAGGATGAAGATGGTGAGAAATTTTGTATGTATTTATAGTTTCATCATGTTGGAAAATATGCATGTATGAGGTATATATAGGAGTGCAAGTTTTGGGTAAAAAGGAGACTTAAAAACTGAAAATAAATGCAATGTTTCAAAAGAATTATAGTATATATCAATACATATAAGTCATGTGTCAACACATGTTGACATATGCGCCAACATGTTGAAAGTCATGTGTCGACACAAAGAAATAGAAGTCGCAAGCTTTAAAAATACAGTACATGTATCAACACATAATAGGGATGTGCCAATGCATAAAAATATGTTTTTAAGCATAAATGTTGTATGTGTTGCAGGCTTTAATATTATTCCATGTGTGTCGATGCATAGCTCATATGTACCGACACATAGAAGTAATTTTTATGCAAAAACTCATTTTTAATGCATGAAACCTTTTACAAACCTTTTCTAAATGCATTCTAAGATCCCTAATGCAAGGGTGCACATGATAACTTAGAGATACCGTTCAATATATAGAAAATATAAATTTATACTTGTTTTGACATCATACGAAACATCTAAAGGACAAATGCACTCACATACTCCCCTTTTTTTATGATGGAAAAACTTCAAAACTTGCATCGATGCTTTTTGTGTCTTCATGAAGGCTCGCCCTGAATATGTGCATCCAATAACATTCTCGCATATAATTCTCCCCCTTTGACAACATAAAAAAGAGAAAAAGAACACCATGAGAAGTATTCTTTATCACACAAATACTAATATATCACAAAGAGGCGTATTTGCAAAGTAAGAACATGCACTAACATATACCCATATACATGGAGTGACGCAAGAGTTTAAACATAAATAACAGGCAATTTTTTTTACCACAATAACATATACGAAGGAATGAAGTATAAATAATGTAATGCAAGTGCAACTTCTCGAGTCGCTTCATAAACATTATGATTATGCAACACTTCACATTGGTGCTCCCGATGTTGCACATGCGTGTACCTAGCTTGGCGAAACATATATCACCACTAAAACTAAAAACAAAGATTTTCTCATAAGATTTTACATGACGTGATTAAGAGTTGTAATTTAGTGAATAACAAGCTCACATTTAATTCATGCGCAAATGAATAGATAACAAACTTACATGAAAGGCAAGGAATAATGATATAAAGCATGCATAAAGACCAAGAACGAATACTTTAAATGAGATATAATCAATGTCATAAAGTCACTATAAGTATATAAATTTAAAACGCACAATGGTTGTCAATTGAAAATTTTTAGAAGTGAACATTCATGAAAGACATATCATACACTGAGCATATCATGCATTTGGAACATATGCAACATGACACTATTAAAGAGCTTACTTTCAAGGAGAAAATGGAATGAAATTACCTCATAGATGAATAGAACGAAGGAGTACCCGCATAATGTGAAACTTTAAAAAGAAAGGTTGAGCAAATGTATATGGAGTGCATGCAAAAAAACTATTTCGGAAACATTGGAGATATCAATGCTCCCCAATTCCATTCGAATGTTGAAAAATGGTTTGATTTCAAGTGATTTTGTAAAGATATCCTTAAGTTGATTTTTACTATCAACATGCTCAAATACAACATCCTCTTTTTCAACATGGTCAGGTAGAAAATGGTGATGTGCCTCAGTATGCTTAATGCGAGAATGTAACACAAGATTTTTGGTTAGGTTAATTGCACTAGTGTTATCGCACATGATAAAAATACGTGAAAGTTTAATATCAAAGTCAAATAGTTGTTGTTTAAGCCGAAGAATTTTAGCACAACAACTACCAACTACAACATATTTTGCCTCGGCCGTTGATAAGGCAATGGAAACTTTGTTATGCCAATTAACTATGGAATTTGAAAACATGTGACAAGTTTCATGAGTACTTTTCCTATACGACTTGCATCGACAAAATCGAAATCAGAATAAACTACCAAACTACAATCGCTTCCTTTGGAATACCAAATGAACATATGTTGCGACTGGCTTTTAAATCAGAGTCGCCACTATTAGTTTTCATCCTAGGGAAGGGAATCTAACAGAAAACATTAATTCACTGACAGAGATTCTAGGTTTCAGACTTCTTTAGACGAAAGGAAGGTGTTAGGCACCTTTCATCTACCTTGTTCACAAGGATATTAGGTTTTAGGTTTAGATTTGGGGTAAACAGGGTTTTTGATCTTACCGGATCAGAAATGGACCGTCACAGCTAGCTCGACAGAAGTTGAATGAGATGGGGGGGGGGGGGTATCTGTAAGAAACTCCGATGGCAAAGTAAGTTGCGGAATGAGAAAGCAAGTATGAGTTTAGAGAGATGAATTGAATACCTGACCCTCTTAGGAGAGAGTGTATTTATAGCCTACAGCGCTGGGCCAAGGTTCCCACTATTGGGCCACGTTGAGGCCCAATAACAGGAACTGCCAGGGCTTACATATTGT